AAACATAACAGAAAATTAAGTTTGTATGAAATAAATTCCATACAAAGGATCGATAACAAATAGAAAAATAAATAAACTATCATAAAGTCGTTCCCCGACAACGGCGCCAAAAACTTGATATACAATTTATATACCAGTTATCTATTTTTAAACCAAACCAATTTAGACTAGCTAACACGCAATAGACAGTGTACCTAGATGAATAACATAATAGTTCAGGTAAATCAGGTATCGAACACAGGGAACAACTATCATTAACATATAAGTTATCTAAAGAGAGATGTTATTTTGGTTTTGCAACTAAAAAGCAATTTAAAGTTAAAAAGAAACAAAAAACGGTTTTTAATACAAGATTTTAAAGAGACTTCCGTTTAGATGCGATTCACTCACTTCTATGGTTGGTTTCATGGATAGTACAATAGATTAAAGTATTATTGCTTACCGATCCCAAGATTGATTAGAATTATGATAAAAAGACTAATCATTTAGTTTATAAAGTTTATTCATTCAATGATCAAGTGGACAAACAAACAAGTGGACTAGTATTAAGTTTGAATTATGAAATACCATAAATTATGATCGATATAGATGGTTATAAATATCAATGCAATGCATGAATATTCATCACATATTAACTTCCACATTAATTTACCAACTTCTCTATTTAACCCTAGGTTTTTGGTCAAAACACTAGTCCTATAACCTTGTTAATCACAAAATCATAAGATAAAAGTTTACTAAGTTAGATAGATCATATGGTCTCAGTAAAACTCATCAAAAAATAGAAAAGAAGTTATCATTAACATAAAAGGTTCGTTATCAAGCTATCATAATGAATAAGAAACTTAAACCGTAATCCAAATACAATAAATCAACACATAGAAAGTGAGATAATCTGCTCTAAATGAAAGTTAGAGCTTTTTAGCCCATAACTACTGGAAATGAACAGATAGAAACAACATTCACTTTGCAAAACATGATTAAAACAAAGCAATTAAGTGATTGGAAGTAATGTTGCCTTTAGATCTCTTCAAAACCAAGCTCTCATTCGAATTATGGTCTCTAAAGCCTCTAAGGGATGTCTCTGGTCTTCAAAAGTCGGTAATAACTTAGTGCATAAGTGAGGGTTGAAGGCATAATCGGTCAATATATAGTTTCCGAAAACTGCTTCCCACGTCGTGGCACCCATTAAAAACGCATATTCTCCAAGGCAGTAACTGGATCGTGAATCTTCTTCTCGCTACAGCATGGCAAGCAAGTGTCCACGGCGTGGGACATCAGAGTTAATAGTAATTTGACTTTGGTTGACTTAATCCAATTTGTCCCGCTTCCAGATCCACATTTTGCTTCCTTTTAATCCCGAGCATGTCTTCGCCGTTACAAAACAAAATTTAAACATATTAAACACCTTTTTTTTTCTTCCTAAATTAAGCATAATTGTAGCTAAAAATATTAAGATAATGCACAAAATATATGAATAAATATGACAATATCACAAAACAACACCTAAATAGGAAAGAAATTGTTCCAAACAAGATCTCATGTTAGGGACTAACATCTTGACCGTATCCACCCATAAGAGTTACTTTTAACAAAAGATACAAATGGAAGCTCAATATCCTGCCAACGACTAACATGATGCCAAAGAGAAGATGCAACCTCACATTGTTACATGGCATAATCCATATTCTCTACATGAATAAGACAAATCAGACATATAATACACTCGAAATCAATAGCCATATTGAATAAATTACTTTTCATAACAACTCGGTCAAGAATCATTCTTTCATTCTCCAAGCCATCATATTCACCTTTTTAAGAACACAAGTTTTCCATCTAGTCGGTTCAAATCTCTTAATCGTGACATGCTTTAGATGTTTTCTTGTAGACCTCACTTCGAAGTCCCCAAAACATCAAGAGACCATGTCAATTTATCGTGATCTGAAGATAGTTAACCCAAACGAATGAGTTGAGATCATGTCATGAACCAAACACTCCCCCCCCCCTACCCTTATACCTCGATGCGAAGACAAATTTCAACACCATTTGCAAACCAATCTTTAAGCGTGCAATTTCTATCAATTTCAAACAAATAAAGTCTAAAAAATTTAATTTTTTACGGCTCTCTTGCCCTTAAATGTCATTCCGAAATCTATTGTCAAGCATAGCCACCTATTTGTTTTCAACTCTTTGTTTCCAAACACAAATTGGGTCACATTGTTTGTGTGGTGTGGTTGGTGTAGGGGTGAGCATAGTGCGATTCAGTGCGGTTATTGGCCAAAACCGAACCACTAACCGCAAATGTTGTTATTAAATTTTAGATACCTAATGGTGCGGTTAATGTAGTACTACGATTATGCGGTCATTTTATGCTGCTCGACTTCATGTGGTTGCGGTAATGGTTTTTAACCGCATTGGTTTTGTGCAACGTTATCCAAATCAGCCCTCTACCAATAACCCTCTACAAAAATGAGTTCTACCAACTCTACTATAAAACATAAATCCCGAACAAACTCGCTTGAAAATTGGTAAAACTAGGTCCAAATCAGTTAAATTCAAACCATATAAGAACAGCTCAACCAAGAAGGAAACCAAGAAGGAGACCTAAAATTGAATTAAAAAAAACAAGATTTATATCTGATTTAAACCGGATTTACAAAAACCCATTTATTTATACTTGACTTCTGAGCCAATTTATAAATGGAGACTCCCCTCTGCTTCTTGCTAGCGATTTCCCACCAAAAAAAAGATACAAACATAAAAAAAACATTTTTTCCTTTCTTAGTCCTTTGTTTTCCCTTGTTTTTTGTTTAGCTATGATATAATTCACTTCCAATATAAAATTATAACTGAGTTCACAATACGCATCCATACTAGCCATGAAACTCATTATTTTCTTTTTCTTAATAATAATAATATTTTATTATGTTCTTAACGATGTTCTTAAATTTCTCTTCTTTCTAACTTTTCCTATAAAATGTCATATATATGCATATTAACAATCAAAACATTTGGTATTACATGAGTTCATTTAATAGAAAAATTAAATATGTTTTATTAGGTATAAGACTCAAGTATTACATGAGTTCATTTAATAGAAAAATTAAATATGAAATTCTAAACATTTAAAAAGTTTGAATTTATAAGAAAAATAAAAAAATATTAAATTATTAAAATTAAAATGTTTTTTTTTAATTTAAACAAATAATTTAGATAAATAAACAAAAGAATGATGTTTTAATTTATAAATTTTGAAATTAAAAAAATCAATTAATAAATTGATATGCATTTATTATTACATTTATTGTAATTATTATATTTAAATATTATATGAAATTTAATAAAATAAAAAAACTAAAAAATGACATGTGGATAAAAACTAATTTAAAATAACAACGTAATGACATGTGACAAAATGAATTAGAATGTGACATGTAACAAAAAAAATCTTTATTTATTAGAGTAGATTTCAAACAATCGAATCAAATTTAACTAAATTATAATTAACTGAATAATAAATATTATATATAATTATTTAATATTATTAAATTTAGTGTGGTTCGGTTATTTGCGGTTATTGAAAAATTTTACGGCTTTTTTAAAATTAAAAATCGCACCGTTGGTTTTCGTTTCGATTTCGGTTTATCGGTTTCGATTTATGCGGTCTTTTTGTTATTTTTAAATGGGGTTCGGTTTTCGTCACCTACTTGTACGAGGTTAGATTGTTTATGTAATTTAGTATATTTGGAGTTACTTTTCGTAAATTATTGTAGATTATGAATGTACTTCTAACTAGCTATGTATATATTTATCGCACCTTCTTTTAAATTTGTATTGAAATTTTCTTCTACAATCATTGTTCACTCTTCTTCATTCAATCGAAAGCCATATATGATCACTAACACCAAACATTAAGTTACGTTTGATTGTGAAAAACTGTTTTTATTTTTTAAGAAAATATTTTCAAAAAATAGAGTTGGATTTTCATTTTCAGTTTTCAATAAGAATTTTAGAAAACATATTTGGTTGGAAACGGTGGAGTTTTTATTTTCCATCTTTGAAATTTGAAAACTTTGGAAAACTATAAAAATCACTTTTCTAATTTACATGTAATTTGAAAACTGAAAATTTTCATTTTCTTAGAAAACTTTGGAAAACTTAACGAACCACACTAGTTTTCAAAATTTTCATTTTTCTTGAAAAATTTTCCATAACCAAACGCACCATAGACGTTGCTGGAAATTCCAAAAACGAAAGGCCGAAAACCGAAAAATAAAAATAAAAGCTCTTACTGACTTTCATGATAAGAAAAAAAATTATATTTCATAATTCATACCCTGATGTCCAACCGCATATCCATAAGTCAAGATAATACATGATTGTTTTTACAACAATAATAAAATGCCATTAAAATGATAAAATCCTATCCATGCTACTGGAGAGAACACATATGTACGTTTTGAGTATCCATGGACAAAACAACGAAATAGCATTATTTGTGGTGATTTGTTAGTGAAGAATAGAGTAACAAGCATGGTTCATTCTATTATATAATATGACAAAATAATTAAAAAAAACTATATACTAATCATATCTAAAGTTATTGTCATTTTGTCAGCGGTTTAGTTCATAACCAACAAATTCAAAGAACCTCAAAAAACAGCATAAAATTAATATTAAAAGCATATCAAAACTTTGATACATTTTTGCAATTAGTTTCAAGTTATTAATATTAATGAACAAAAATGCATTTTGTTAGCTAAGATTGTTATATAATATGTAAGAGTTCTCAAATTTCTTTCAAAAAGAGGCTTTTAAGGAAAACAGATTGTACTCCGATATATTATATATTATATGAAGTACATGAGATATGTCTATTTAATCTAGGACACTAACATGTCTTGAGGCGGATGCTCTATAAAAATCAGACTAGATTACTGTATGATAAGTGGAGTCTTGAATTTGAAATATACATCTGAAGATGAGAATATATCAAACAACATACAACAAATGGGACTCCAAGATACAACTATCTACTTTAGAAGCAATTGGGGCATTTTATTAGCCCATTTCTTGTTACATTCGGTACACGTCGTTCTTTTCCCATCGGCAAGTTTCATAAGATGACTACCGTTACACTTACGACACACTACAGACCGCACTCCAGCACACCTTTTGCATGGCCCTTCAGATTTGTTTAGTGGTATTTCAGCAAGGAATGGCCGAAATTTTCCCTGCTCATGCAACCGGAAAACTTCCTCTGCTCCACCGATATACCTACCCTTTATAAACAGGCTTGGCACTGCTGCTGATTTGCCCAACATCTGCAATAGTTCATCTCTGAAATCCGAGTGCATCGCTATATCTCTTTCTTGGTATAAAAACTTTAAACTTTTTAGTAAAGAGTGAACCCTCGAGCAATCTTTGGAAGTCTTCCGAATCCCTTTGACGCTTGTTGTGTACAGAATTACCAAATTGCTTCCTCCCGGGGGACAGATTTCCTTGAAATCCAGAAGGGTGTTTTTTTGTTTTGAATTTTCTTCTTTAGCCCGATCAAAAGCCTCCTACACAAGAGTAGATAAAACATTACAATGAAAAGTAGATGTAGAATAAGATGATTGCTTAAACAAGATATATGAAGCAACTTACTTGAAATTTAAGAGATTTTTCAAGTTCTTTCACAATATCCTCCATTCGTGGACGTCCCTCATGGTTTCTCTTCAAACATTGATAAGCAATTTTTGAAAAAACTTTTAAAGAATCGGGATGTATGTTATCCTTTATGTTGCACCAAACAATTTCATGTAGCTTGTTACCTTTAATATGCACCCGTACCAATCTAGTAAGAGATGATTGACGCCCATCCTTGTTGACAATACACAACCTTCCACACAAAACTTCAAACAACACCACACCAAAGGAGTAAACGTCCGACTCCTTTGTTAGAACTCCATCCTCCATATATTGTGGATCAACATACCCAACCGTGCCTACAGTATTATTGGTGAAAAGAAATGTGTTTTTCTGGTTAGCAGGACCAAATTTGGATAAACCAAAATCTGCTATTATGGCATTCCAATTTTCATCTAATAAGATGTTGGAACTTTTAATATCGCGGTGCAATAGTCTTTGTTGTGTCCCCGCAGGATTATGAAGGTATGCAAGTCCACGAGCCGCATCTATGCATATTTTAAGGCGTCGAGCCCATGTTAACTCTTTGTTTTCAATATGTTCGTCAAGACTTTTCCTAGATGCATATTTGTATACAAGGATCTTTTGGTTTTTCTCATCACAAAAACCTAGGAGGGAGATGATATTTTCATGCTTGTACTCTGAAAGCATCATGACCTCCTTCCAAAACTCACCATCTCCTTGACCAAATGAACGATCTAAAACTTTTATAGCCACCGTCGTATTCCCCTTCGAAGTGAGTATTCCCTGGTACACTTGTCCAAATCCTCCTCCCCCAATCCAATTTTCTTTTGAAAAACTGTTGGTTGCTGCTATTAGATCAGCTAGTGGTATTCTAAGATGTTCAAACTGTTTTAGAAATGCCATAGTTTGATGCTTGATCAAAAATGCGAAGGAAAAGTAAGGTTTTGCAAAGAATTGAAGTAGATCTGTTTGAAAGATAAGATATTGCGTCTATTGGGACCTAACAAATAGCAATATAAAAAACCTAAGGTGTTAGTCAACCCTGTCTCCTTACATAATTCATGGTTCCATTTCCAAAATAATTAATTGCCAGCTAACTTGCACTGCCTAGCAATATATAAAACTTTAAAGTCTTTATCATCTCTAACTCTCTCTCTCTTACATTATTGATGGTTTATTTATAAAATAGTGCCAGCTTGCAAAATTATTATAAAACTAACATGTGAGTGGCTCTTCCCCACTATCATATTCAATAAAATGGCATTAAAATTGTGATAATTAAAGAGCAATGGTACTTGGTAGTACTTGGTAGGTGGGCTCAATTTGTTCGATATATCCAACAAGTGGCTTCAATAATTTAATTGTTTTCATTATATTATTTCACAGCTATGTGAAATCTAAATACATTACACAAGTTGCAAAAATTTAGATTTTCTGAATTTTATTATCACACACATACGTGCTAAGAACGGCCCCCAAAGAGTAATTTGGGTATTTTTAAAAAGAGTAAATTATAGAAATGGTCCCTATGGTTTGGTCGAATTTTCACTTTTGGTCCATAAGTTTAAAATTTGATAGGTTATATCCCTGGAGTTTGTGAATATTGCTAGGTCCTTGTTCATATAAAAAGACCAATTACCCTTTTTTTCTTTTTTCATTTTCTTTTTACAATTTTTTATTATTATTACTATTATATATATATATATATAATATATATATATATATATATATATATATATATATATATATATATGACAAAACTGCACAAATGGTCCCTGTGGTTTGCTGAAATTTACCACTTTGGTCCAAAAATGTGTGGACTAGCAACACACGTCCAAAGTTTTCATTTTGTTGTAAGTTTGATCCAATTTACTTTAAACTTTTTTACAATGACTTTAAACTTTTTTTACAATGACGATTTTGCCATTAATTTTTATTTTTTCAGTTTTTTTATTTATCTAAATAATTTTTCGATTAAAAGAAAAACAAAAAAGAAATTTCTCTCTCTCTCTCTCTCTCTCTCTCTCTCTCTCTCTCTCTCTCTCTCTCTCTCTCTCTCTCTCTCTCTCTCTCTCTCTCTCTCTCTCTCTCTCAACTCTCTCAACCTAGAAAATTCTCCCATTTGCAAATTAATTTAGCCATGGAGTAAACAAACCTATAAAAAATTAATTTTACCAAAGATCAAACAAACCTACAAAGTGCAACCGTTGAGATAAAAGAGAGAGACGTACGAAGGCAGATTAAGAGGGATGACTCTCTTTCCCAGTGTTGTGGTAAACCCTAGAATCGTAAATCCACTCACCCATGCTACAACAGGTATGAACGACCTTTGATTTCATGATTTTGTGTTCTTGTTTTGTAAATTGGGTTTTTAATTTTTCGTTTTTTATGTTGCTAGATCAAACCTGATCCAACTTGATCATTGGAACCTATAATCAAACCCTCTCTCTTGGTATGCTCCAAAACATCATAAGAATTATGAGCGTGCAAAAATTCTTATGAAACTTCAAACCACAACAACACTTCAAGTTCTGTTCATCTACAGCTGTTTCACCTCACATTGGAAATCATGAAAAACAATCTTCACATAATTCTTTGATTTCTGCCATTTTTTGTGATTTGGGCAGAAACCCAGGATGGAAACCTTTTTGCAGAGAAAATCGTTGCAGAATTGACTTTTTGGGGGTTCTAAGAAGCGATGGACAACAAGAAGGATGGTTTTAGGGAAAATAATCAAGCGACTTCTTTAACTAGCTGAATCCGCCATCATTGCCGCCACCAGCACCGGTGCAATCCATACGAACTTCACTTCACTCAATATCACACTCCAGAACTCCAGCTCCAACATGCCAGTTCCTTCACAACTTCGATTCAGTTATTTTCTGGGAATTGGGTTATCCTCATCGGAAAATAGTTACCTAACCTTTTCAATTTTGGCAACAAATCTTCACCGGATATGCACCACAGAGTAATCAGATTCCCGAGTGCTTTATTTGGTACAAGATTTTTGTGAAGAAGAAGTTGTCTGGATTTTAGACATAAACAAGGGTGATCTTTGATCCATCTTCAAAGAAAAAATGTAGAAGTGAAGTGTTCTTGTGCAGAGAGAGAGAGAGAGAGAGAGAGAGAGAGAGAGAGAGAGAGAGAGAGAGAGAAATTTCTTTTTTATTTTTCTTTTAATCGAAAAATTATTTACATAAATAAAAAAACTGAAAAAACAAAAATTAATGGCAAAATCGTCATTGTAAAAAAGTTTAAAGTAAATTGGATCAAACTTGCAACAAAATGAAAACTTTGGACCTGTGGTGTTAGTCCAAACTTTTTTGGATCAAAGTGTCAATTTTCAGCAAACCACATGGACCATTTGTTTTTTTAATAGAATTAATATAGATTATTTATAAAATTATCTTTATTTTTTTAAATTAGTTATCTAAATTATATAAAATCATATTAATATTATTATTAATATTATTATTATTATTATTATTATCATTATTATTTATTGCTTTATTTATTTATCTTTGTTTTTGTGGTTTAAAAATCTATTAATATTTTTAACGTTTTATTTAAATATATTATTTAATGTTGTTTTTTTTAACGTTTTGTTCGTTTAAGTTAAATAATGATTTTTTTTGATGTTTTTTTTTCGGATAAACAAATTAAAACAATAACTCGGATAATTATCAGTATATAATTTAATTTGTTTATTAAAAAAAACATGAAAAAATCATTGTATAACTTAAACGAACAAAACATCAAAAAACAATATTAAATAATATATCAAATAAAACTTCAAAAATATTAATAGATTTTTAAACTACACAAACAAAGATAAATAAATAATAATAATAATATGATATTATATAATATAAATAATTGATTTAAAAAAATTAAAATAATTTTATAAATAATCTACATTAATTCTACTAAAATAAAAATTAAAAAATAATAATTTGTGTGTATATATATATATATATATATATATATATATATATATTATAATAGTAATAATAATAATAATAATTTGGTAAAAGAAAATGACAAAAAGAAAGAAAGGGTAATTTGGTCTTTTTATATGGAGCAAGGACCTGAAGTGTAATATTCACAAACTGCAAGGATGTAACCTATCAAATTTTAAACTTAGGGACCAAAAGTGAGAATTCGACCAACCTATAGGGACTATTTCTTTAATTTACTCTTTTAAAAATTAAAGTAAAATGTTATAGCTGGGAAGATTTTTCAAACTGTGAAGATGATCCCCTCTCAGAACAGAAGTGTGTTTTTAACAACCCATGAGTATTGTTAACAACCCAAGAGTATAGTTGAAATGGAAAAGTATTATGTTGTAACATAAGAAATGGATGTAGTGTACTACAATAAACAAATAAATTAAAGTACGTTGTTTTTTTGATGCATCTACCCCTAAAATCTAACATGTGAGTAATCAACTAATATACCACATCTTATGATGATATCAGTAAGAAGAAAAATGAAATTACAATATCATAATTTGGATAGTTTTTTTAAAATACAATGCATTGATAAGAGCACAATCTACAATCGACATAACCTAAATCTCATAAGAGTAGTATGGAAGGGAACATTAGAGTTAGGGGACACATGTTTTTCCTCTATGAATTTAACATTCAAATATATTATTGACTATCATGAATTGTTTTTCATTACATCTTTATCTTTGTCTTCATCTTCTTAATTATTAATACCTTGAGACTAAATGATCATTTTACTTTTACATTTCAAAAAGTAAATTTCACAATATTAATTAATTATAACAATATTCACTAAGTGGAAGTTAAAAGGAAAAAAAGAAGGTTAAATAGGTAAAGGGTAAGGTTTAAAAGTTCAAAATCGTGCTTAGAGGCAAACAGAGACCTAAGCTCCAGATAACATAAAATAATTAATAGTAAATATTATATAACTAATAAAATATAATCAAATTACATAAAAAGTCACCATTAACTAGAAAACAAATTTAAAGAAATTTTAATAATATTACCATACTTAATAACTAAATAACATCAAAGTATTAAAATTATACTCCCTTTGACCCAAATTAATTGTTCACTTTTGACTTTTGAAGTTTTTTTTCTTCAACTTTGACCTTAAATATTTTTATTTGTGTTATATATTACTTGATGAAACTTATAACAATAAAATGACATTTAAAATACAATCCATTCATATATTT